TAAATAAAAAATATTTTTAAAGTTTTTACTTGTAAAAATAGGTATACAATTTTCGATTTAATCGTTGTACCATACTTTAAAAGTATATAATGCTCTTCAGATAGACAGCAGTACCAGTGACACTGGTGAGCCTTTCAAATTTGAACTCTTATGTGCTTATGTAGCTAAAACAAATGCCAGAATATGGAATTGTTGAACCAGAAGGCATGTATTAATATATTTCAGTTTCCCTTCAGGATTATACTAACTGCTTTCCCCCAGTAATGCACTAGGGGGCATTTAACTGCCTTAGCTATATTAGTAACTAAACTTTTCTCCATCACTTCGTATGTTTGTCAGAACTTCTTATGCATTAAATATGTCTTACAGTTTTCAGTTGAAGTAATCTGCTTTTCAGTTTTGAAGCATGTGCTACTTCTGTAATTTGATTAATCTTTTTTTTTTTAATAGCTTATATGGTAATTTAACACTTTCTCAATTCATTCAGTGGTTATCAATCAACGGTTATTGATCATTTATTGTATCTTTGATTATTAAAAAATGCTAAGGTTAGAAAGATAAAATCTTGTGTCTTCTCTGTAAAGAACTTGAATTCTAAGCAGGAAACTGACATCTGAACAGCTTAGTATTAATTATTATATTCACAGTAGGTGTAAGAATGCCTGGAATGCTCAAAGAAGGACTCAAGGCAGCCTAAGGCATCGGCAGTTTAGAGGAGGCTTCATTGAGCTGGGACTTCAGTAGAGCTGGGTGTGTGGCTTATGCTTGTAATCTTAGGTGCTTGAAAGGCTAAGGTAGGATGAGTTCAAGGCCAGCCTGGGCAGCTGTCTTAGTTTCTTTTCCTGTTGCTGTGATAAAATACCCTGACAAAAGCCATTTGAGGGAAAAGGTTTTATTCTGACTCACAGTTCCAGGATACAGTCCACCATGTTGGGGGAGTCACCGCAGGAGGAGCATAAAACAGACACATGGCATCCACGGTCAGGAAGCAGAGATGATGACTGCACACAAATGCTCAATTTCCTTCCATTTATGCAGTCTAGGATCCCTGCCAGGAAACGGTGCCAGCCACAGTGGGCAGATCTTCCCATCTCAATTAACATAATCAAGAGAATCCCCCATGAGCATGCCCAGAGGCCTATCTCCTTGATGAGTCTAGATTAGGTCAAGTAGAGAGTACACAACACAAGCTTAGTGAGACCCTGTCTCAAGAGAAAGTAAAAATGAGCTGGGGATGTTAGCTCAGTGATAGCATGCTTGGGTAGCATGGATGAGATGGTGGGTGCAGTTTCTAGTGCTCAACACACACACACACCACAAACACAACACATAGATTATCCGGATGGGGGCTGGGAGGAAAGGAAGAAGGGAGGAAGGGGAGGGGTAGGATTATAGCCAGCTATAAGGAAAGCATGGTAGATAGTTGAGACAGGGTTTCATACCATATAGCACAGGATGGTCTTGGACTTGTGGCAGCCCTCCTGCCTCAGCCTCCTTGGTATTGGAATTACAGGAATGACCCACCACTCCCATCATAGTAGAGCAGTTAATGGGGAGCCAGAACAGATTTATAGTGTGAAGTAACAGGTCGGATCTCAGCTTTACAAAAGACTTTTCTGCTGTCAGTGAGGCATGTGGACTGACTTGGGAAGGGAATGAGAAGTAGCAGGACAAATATTGCCCATGACTGGAATGTGCAAGATGGCAGTGTGGGGAGTGTCTCTTCATTGGATTCCTTCAGTCCTTCCTGCTGACCACGAGTTTTAAGAGCTTTCAGACTTCATTATATAAAAAAATTATTGTGTGTCTGTGTGTATGATGTGTGTATATGATGGGTCCATATGTAGCATGGCTTGAGTCTGTAGGTCAGAGGACATTGGTTCTCTTCTGCCATGTGGGTCCTGGGGATCGATCAAACTTAGGTTGTCAGGCTTGTATAGCAAGCACTTTTACTCACTGAGCTATCTTGCCAGCCCCATTATTTTAATTATCTACATTTTAAATCATAAGCTGTCATTTTGAATTCTAAGTGTTAACATCAAAAATGCTGCTATTCTTGAGGAGAAAATGCCTTAATAAACATTCTTTTTTTTTTTTTTCTCACAGGCTGCCGCTGATGAATACAATAGGCTAAAGCAAGTTAAGGGAGTAAGTATCTGGTTTTAAGACTCTCTTCCTTAGTGTTTAAGGTGACTGTCCCTCACACATGCATGTGCACTGATTTCAGACAAAAGACCCTGCTATTTACATAGGGGCCTTTAACTGAGAAATTAGAGTCTTAAATTTATTTTTATTATTTATATTTTACATGTACAAATGTTTTGCCTGAATGTGTAAGTGCACTATGTACATGCAGCACCTTCAGAGGTCAGATAGGTGCTACTGAATGTCCTTAACCACTGAGCCATCACTCCAGCCCTGAAATGGGAACTTTAATTTCAGTTGTTTGCAACTACACCTTATACTGACTTTTCCAAAGGCTTTTTATTTAAAATTTCATTTATTATTTTTTATTATTTTATGTGTATTAGTACATTGCCTGCATGTATGTAAGTACACTTGTGTCGGTGTTGTACAGTGCCCACAGAGGCCAGAAGAAGCCATTGGATTCCCCGGAACTGGAGTTATAGATGATTGTTAGCCACCATGTGGGTGCTGGGAACTGAACCCAGGTCCTCCTGCTTTCACAGCAAGCGCTGTACCCACTAAGCCAACTCTACAGCCCCTTAAGTGAGTTTTAAGAGTATATTGGGAGCAAGAGAGATGGCTCAGTGGTTAAGTGCACATACTGCTCTTGCCGATGGCCTGAGTTTGGTTCCCAGCACTCATATCTGACAGCTCACAACCTCCTGTAACTCCAGCTCCAGGGAATCCTGTACCTTTATCTGGCTTCTGCAAGTATCTGCACTCATATGCATATACCCATACATAAACATAATTTTTTTCTTTTGGTCTTTTTGAGACGGGGTCTCCCTATAGCCCCAGCTGGCCTGGAACTCACTAAGTAGGCCAGACTGGCCTTGAACTCACAGAGATCCACTTGCCTCTGCCTCCTGAGTGCTGGGATTAAAAGTGTGTGCCACTACACTGGGCCCACATATGCATAATTAAAAATAAAATAAACTTTTTAAAAGATTATGTACTAAAAGTTTTTGTCCCTTGTTTTCCATTTAAGTTTTCTTTTCTGTAGTTGACTGACTATAACAAGTTTCTTATTTTGCTGATTCTTTTTTTTACATTTATTTATTTGCTGTGTATATATGTGAATATATGTATGTATGTATAGGTGTATCCACATGTGCCATGGCACATATATGGGGTCAGATGACAGCTTGTAGGAGTCCTCTCCTTCCATCGTATGGGTCCTGGGGCTTGAACTGAGGCTGTCAGGCTTAGCATCAGGTGCCCTTACTTGCTGAGACATCTTACCAGCCCCTGATTTTTTTTTTTTTTAAATTACAATATATAGGGCTGGAGAGATAGCTTAGTGGTTAAGAGCACTGACTGCTTTTTGCAGAGACCCTGGGTTTGGTTCACAGCACCCACATGGCAGCTAACAATCCTTAACTCTAGTTCCAGGGAATCTGGTGCCCTTTTCTTGTCTTTGGCAGGCTTTGAACACATGGGTGCACTTACATACATGTGGGCAAAACACTCATACACATGAATTTTTTTTTTTTTAATTTAAAGAAAGATAATACGTAGGCATATAGGCCAATAAATTTTCTTGGTGAATGAACACATTTTTAGGAATGAATATATCCTTTATAACAGATGATATTGTTGAGGAAAGAGACTCATCTGCCTGTGGTTAGTGATACTGCCTGACACCTTGAGTCTATGCATTTAAGTCTCAGCAATTCTTTGTGACTAATGTTCTCTTTTTTTTGTTTACCTTTTCCAGAGACCTATTTTTAGTTTGTTGAATTTTTGTGATTGATTTTTCTTCCTTTTAGTCTTCAGATTACAAAAATAAGAGGAATTATTGCAAGCAGTTGAAGAGTAAATTATCACACATCAAGAGAATGGTTGGAGATTATGATAGACGGAAGACATAAGGCAGTGTCAGTTGCCTGAGAATGAAGGCTTATCTGTCTGATGTCTCTGCAATTCTCTCCAGAGGCAAAGTGACTTTGGACTCTAATGTTGGAAGTTAAAACTTTGATCATTACAAAGTTTCGGTAGCATTAATACCATCAATTTCATATCATCAGTATTGAAGCATTTTATAAATAGCTTTTGATAATCAACTGGGCTTGAACACTCCAATTAAGGATTTTATATTTTAAACATTGGTTCTTGTATTAAAAATGAAATGTTTGCCACCTGGTGTGGTGGTGCACGCCTTTAATTCCAGCACTTGGGAGACAGAGGCAGGTGGATGTCTGTTTCAAAAAAAAATAAAATTAAAAAAATTAGAAAATGAAATGTTGTTTGAGGTTTTAAAGTTAAAGGAAGATCCTGGTATGAACCGTGCTGTGAACTTTCATGCCCAGACAATGTCTTAATACCTGAGTGTGTTCCTCTGTGTAGATCATCCCATAATCCTCCCAACAGCCCTTCAGGAAACCGTTATTTATGACGACTTCTTTCAGGTAAGGAATCCAGGTTCCTGCAAGGAAGTCTCCAAAGTGAAACTGCTTGTTTCTCAATTGTAGTTTTGGTTATGTCTGTTTTATGCTAATAATAAAGTTCCTCAATCTCCTATTTTAGATATTGTGTATAATACATTTTATCAGCTTCCTTATTGATTTTTTTCTGTTGATATGAATGGTTAGAATTTTCTTTTGTGTTATGTTTTCCTAATAATTCAAATCATGTACAATTAACAAATATGTGAAATTTAAAGATTATAAATATATATGTACTTTTGAAAAATCAGTTTAAACCTGGGGTTAGAATTTTGTGTATTTTTAAATGCTTTTTATCTTTTATAGTTTACATGCATTTTTTCTGATAATCAGCTAGACCTTTTCACTATAGCAAAGTATCCAATTACATTTATAATTATGACTTGAATTGTGTTTCATAGGAATGTTCATGTTCTTTTTTCTGTACATATTTTGTAAGGTATTAAACCTGCGTTCTTTTTCTGTAATATGTTTGATGTCATTAGTGCTGTTCATATTAAGCTGTGGAAAACCACACTGAGGAGTTGTTTCCGTTGTTTAAACAGTCTTGGATGCTGTGCTGGTTCGTGATTTCTCAGACCTTGGGCTGTGAGGAAACCAGTCTATATGTACTTTTGAAATAGTGCACATAAATCTCATGATTTTTTTTTTTTTTTTTTTTTTGTCTTTTTGAGACAGGGTCTCCCTGTAGCCCCAGCTGTCCTGGAACTCACTATATAGACCAGGCTGGCCTTGAACTCACAAAGATCTGCCTGCCTCTGCTCCCCAAGTGCTGGGATTAAAGGCATGCACCATCACACCTGGTTTCTCATGATGGTTTTTAAAAATTCAAATTCTTGTTCTAACAAGAATTTAGCTGATGATACTGTACAAACCCAATTGATTATGTACATCCAGCCTGGTTTGGTCTGTTTTTCTGAAAACCCTTTATATACCTTTCAGACACTGAAGTACATATTTTTCTATATACAATTTTGAATTATTTTCCAAAGATAAGCTTTTAAATAATGCTTTTTGTAACTGATTCACTTCTTCAAACTGAGCTTAATCCAGGCTGGTTCAAACATTCATTCCTCCTGCTTCCACCTCCCAAACACACCTGGTGCTCTGCTCCACACCTGGCTTGTACTTGGTTTGTGAATGCAAGTTGTTGATGTCCTCACAAAGACGAAGAAAATCAAGTGGAAAGATTTGCAAAATTATAAAATTTGTCTTTAGAATAAACAATATTACTTTTTCAAATGTGATGCTACCACTACAGGCCTCAGGGAGCCAATACCAGGGTGTGTGTATTGGTGCTGATATTAACTAGTTTGATTTAACCTTCAGAAGCCAATCAGACAGTTTCCCAGTCTGGACTATAAGGGGTTAGATTCAATTTCCAAGGTTTCTTCCATTCTGACCTGTGGTTCATATGCCTGTTTTCTGCTAATAAATTGTTCCAGAGAATGGCTTGTGGAAACATGGTCTGTCTTATAAAAGTTTCCTGCTCAAAGTGATGCCCTACATTTGTGAATTTTGTATTAAAACTAGGTAGGATCAATGTTTTCTATTTTGGAAAAATTGAAAAAGAATACAAGATTATAAATATACATGAACCTAGCCCCCAGAAATAACAGGCGATAATATTTTGTCATATGTGCTTTGTATTTTTGAAATAAAGTCTAGTATTTACAGTAAATACTAGTCTAGTATTTGCCATAATAATGTCTACACATATACAGGATATCACATTTAAGTATTTAGTTCTCATAAGTCTTTCAACGTGTAAACATTTCTTCTCATTTTATGGATAAGGAAACTAATAATTTGATATGCTAATTGACTCAGTCACATACCAGCAAGTAGCAAAACTAAAGGTGGAGTCTTGATCCTTTGGCTTAGTAGGGTCCATCTATTCTTCCATCCAGTTAATAGGTTGACTGGTTATTAATGCATTGTGTAATATAGGGCTGCTCTGTCTGATACAAAGCATTCCACATTAATTTTGAATGTATTTGAAATACTGTACATTAACATAAAATGCTTCATATGGAATCTAAAGTATCTGTAAACACCTGAATGGGTAAAGAATGGTCAGGGTAGAAGAGTGTTTTCGTCATGGGACTTGGAGCATGGGAGTCCTTCACACAGAGACATTCTCCTTGCTTCTGCCTCAGGATGGAAGTATCTCCTGTCTAGACTTTCACAAAGTCTCAGCTGGGAAATCAGAATCAGAATTCATACTTGATTTCCTGGATGCTCGTGATCCTACTGCCCTGTAATCTCTTGCCCTATAAGTACTCTTATCTGAAAGAATAAATGACCTAGGCAGAGGTTGGTTATTTTCTTTATTGAGATCTAGAGTTTCACTTTGTAGATCAGGTTGGCCTTGAACTTGTGATCCTCCTTCCTCAGTCTCCCATGTGATGGGGTTACAGGTGTGTGTTGTCACATCCAGCTATCATATGTTTTATATTAACGTTTCTTATAGTGGGGAGAAATGAGCAAATAGTACATAAATAGACTGGGCAGTTTTTAAAGGAAAATATTGTGTTAGTAAATTATAATAATGACCCTTTGGAGGTAGAGAAAACAATGTGTACTAGGATGTATTTATGTGCCGTAACAAAATGCAGAAGGGTGTGCCCTCCAAATTTCCTGTTGTTGCTACAAGATCTACTTGTCTGTGTTAGGTTGTCCTTTTCTTGCTGTGCTCTCCAGAAAACTGCTCAGCTTTCCTACACCTCAGATTTTTCTATCTCTGAAAGTAAGTTAGAGCCAGGCAGGGTTTGCACTCCTGTCACTTGGGAGGCTGCAGCAGGTCAGCCTGGGCTACATGTTAAACTACTTCTCAAAACAAAAAGAGTCAAAACATGTTTGTGGGTTAGGGAAACAGCACAGTGGTAGAGTGCTTGTCTAACTGACATACAGTGCAATGATTAGCCTGTAGAAACACAAAAGTATTTGTAATTTTATTATGGAAATAATGTGTGGTTTAGGGCAGACCTTATCAGAAGTGAACAAATATATCCAGTTACCCTTATCATCTAAAGCAAGGAGGTAGAACTTAACCAAAGTTATTTATTTATTGACACTTTGTGTGTATGAGTATATTGCCTGCATGTATATAAGGGCACCCCTGTGCAATGCCCACAGAGGTCAGAAGAGAGCAGCAGATCCCTAGGAACTGGTCTTATGGACAGTTATTAGCTGCAATGTGGGTGCTGGGAACTTGAACCTGAGTCCTCTGCAAGAGTAGCAGTCAGTGCTCTTAACTGCTGAGCCATCTCTCCAGCTCCCCCAACCATTTTTTTTTTAAAGCAAATTGTGTTTTAAAAAATAAGTTGAGTTTTTAACCTTTAAAAAAGATCTCCATTTCATTTTAAAGTATACTGTTTCTTACAGAAAGACTCATTGTTTTGCTAATAACACTTATATGTTGGTGCATGCATCTCTAATCTGTATGTATCTGATTATTGTAATGAAATGCTTCTTCTAAAAAAAAAAAATTTGATGGTGTGCCCCTGGTGGTTGAACTCACACCCTAGAATATTTGGAGAAAGCAAATTGGTCTTGATCAACTTAAAAAAAAAAAAAAAAATAAAATAGGACTCAAAAAGTGTGGTGGAGAGGTAAGTGGGGGAAGGGTGCTGAATATGATCAAGATATATTGTGTGAAATTACCAAATCAGATTATTTTAAAATATATTTTAATAGGTAGAGAATGGTGGCATATGCCCTCAATCCCAGCAGTCAAGAGGCAGAGGCAGGCAGATCTCTGAGTTTGAGGCCAACTAGGTCTACATAGCAAGTTTCAGGCCAGCCAGGGCTACATTGAGGCTCTGTCTCAGAAAACAGCAACAGGGGCTGGAGAGATGGCTCAGCGGTTAAGAACACTGGCTGTTCTTGCAGAAGACCCGGGTTTGAATCCCAGCACCCACATGGCAGCTAACAACTGTCCGTAACTCCAGTCCCAGGGGATTGCACAGTCTCTTCTGTCCTCCTTGGGCATGGCACAACACGGGTGTACTTACCTACATGCAGGCAGTACACACATACACATAAAAGTAATAAATAAAATATTAAAAAAACAGCAACAAAAATTTATTACATTTATTTATGTTTGTGAGTGCTTGGGTGCCACTGCATGCTTATGGAGATCTAAGGACAACTTGTGGGAGTCTCTCTTCCCACCATGTAAATCTTGGGGATTGAACTCTTGTCATCAGGCTTGGCAGTAAACATCTTTACCAGCTGAGCCATCCCTCTGGCTTATAAATTGTGTTTTAAAAGTGTATGTATGTGCCAGGCGTGGTGGTGTACACGTTTAATCCCAGCACTTGTACAGTCTGGGCGTACATGTTTAATCCCAGGCAGAGGCAGGCGGATCTCAGTGAGTTCAAGGCCAGCCTGGTCTACATAGTGAGTTCCAGGACAGCTGGTGCTAGAGGGAGACCCTATCTCAAAAAGACCGAAAAAAAAAGTGTATGTATGACTGGGCATGGTGGTGCACGCTTTTAGTCCCAGCACTCAGAAGGCAGAGGCAGGTGGATCTCTGTGAGTTCAAGGCCAGCCTGGTCTACATAGTGAGTTCCAGGCCATCTGAGGCTACAGAGAGACCCTGTCTTAAAAATACCACAAAAAAAAGTGAACATGTAAGGTATGTGTAAGCGTTGGTGAAATGGTTCAGTGGATAAAGGAAGTAGAATTTTTTTTTTTTTTTTTTTGTCTTTTTGAGACAGGGTCTCCTTGTAGTCCCAGCTGAACTGAACTCACTATGTAGACCAGGCTGGTCTTGAACTCACAACAATCCGCTTGCCTGTGCCTCCTGAGTGCTGGGATTAAAGGCATGTGCCACCATGCCCGGCATAGAATTCTTTTTTTAAAAAATATTTTATTTATTAATTTTATGTGTATGCATGTATTGCCTGCATGTAGGTAAGTGCACCTGTGTAGTGCAGTGCCTGTGGAGAACAGAAGAGACTGTCAGATGCCCTGGAACTGGAGTTATGAACAGTTGTTAGCTGCCATGTGGGTGCTGGGATTTGAACCTGGGGTTCTGCAAGAACAGTCAGTGTTCTTAACCACTGAGCCATCTCTCCAGCAGTAGAATTCTTACATTTAAAAAAAAAATTTATATGTAAGAGTGTTATGCCTGCATGTGTGTAAGTGCACCCATGTCCTGCAGTGCCTGAGGAGGCCAGAAGAGGGTGTCAGATCCCCCTGGAACTGGAGTTATAGGTGGTTGTTAGCCACCATGTGGGTGCTGGCATCCAAACCCAGGTCTTCTGCAAGAAGAGCCAGTATTCTTAACTGCTGAGACATCTCTCCAGCCCCAAGGCAGTAGAATTCTTATAAGCAGCCTTTCTGTGCCTTGTAAATAGGGGGTTCATTTTTGTGAGGCAGGGTTGACTTTTGTTTTTTATGTGGTGCTGGGGATCAGATTCAGGTCTCACACATACTAGGTAAGTGCTCTACACTCCCAGGTGTAGTAGTTTTTAAGTGAGGGTTTTTCTGCAAGGATTAGTTTAAAAGTGTTAGAACAGAAAGGGTCACTTCTCCCAGCTCTTCAGGTTATACACTTTGTTATGTTTATTTTCATTTATGTGTATGAGTGTTTACTTTGCATGTATATAAGTGTACCCACATGCATGCACTGCCCTTGGAGGCCAGAAGAGGATACCAGATCCTCTGGAACTTAATTAAGGTTTTCTGGAGTTATGGGTCCTCTGCAAGAGCAGCATGTGCTCTTAATGGCTAAGCCATCTCTCCAGTCCCCAAGTTATACACTTTTTGTATTTAGAGTCCACTAGCTGAGCTCTTCACAAATTTTCTAACTCTGGATTATGTCCAGCCATCCATTGGCAAACAACAGATTCCTCCCTCCCTCCCTCCCTCCC